ATATATATATATATATATATATATATATATATATATATATATATATATATATATATATATATATATATATATATATATATATGATTTGGTGTGGATGCATATCAAGCATATACTCAGAAAAATTGAGCCCTAACGGGAATTGAACCACGTAACCTTGTGATAACCGGATAGACGCTCTAACCATTGAGCTATAAGGCATCAGATGGTGAGCCAAGGTTACGTTATTTACTAGTTGACTTCTTTGTGTTACATGTGTACTGCTAACTGCAAGTCTCGACATGTCTTATATATATGGCTTATTAAATATTAATACATAGGGCAACATGCAACAACTTGTGTTGAGACGCATTATACTTTATTGTCAGTACGTTCGCGCTTGTTGTTAAAAACAATCGTCTATATTTATCAGTAAATGCATGTCCCCAGCACGAATGCAACGTATTGCCCGTCAAAACATACAATCGAAAGAATTTTGGATAATTTGCTGTTTAAAGTTGCGGCATGTTGTAATAATCGCTTCACGGAGCTCTCTTAAATTGGGAATCGTACATAGACTTGCCCCAATCAGCTACTCCAGGGACGCCGGAACGATGCGGAAGGCAAGAGGGGTAGATTTTCGTGAAAGAGCACTTTGAATTGATTTATACTAAGAGATGTTTACAAAACATTGGTAGTTGAACTTCGCCTAATCATGTTTTCTATTTATTGGATGATAGGGGTGTGGGGGGGGGAGTTCTCCGTCAGGCAATTGTGCTATAACTGCTATTCTTGAAGCTGGATGACTGCATTTCTTCTAGCCCGCGTGCAGGCCCAAGGGAGCAGGCTGAAGGGAACTTGATAGTGGGCCTGCAAGCAAGGCCCGGTATTTTGTACTTTCCGCGTTCGCCCACGAACGCGGCATTTTGATTGGCTGTTTGCTGTTGGATTCTATAATTAGGTCAGTGATTCATCACAAAGGCATAGACAAAGGCTCTCGATAAGCTTAAAATTCGAAAATTGATCACTTTTATCGATTACAAATGGAACAAGAACAGACTGTTTATTGTTTACTTGAAGGAAGATATGTTTTTGCCGTTATGCCAATGAGGATTGCTTGTCGTGAGGTGTTGGAATAGCAACATTTAATACGAATGGGGTATAAAACTATAGTAACCTTTACTTGAGTTTCATTAATTTCAAACAGACTTGATACGTTATATGTTCCTCAAGAAAATTATTTTTTGGTTGATGTTGAGATGCAGTTGAAATACTTTGCGGTTTACAAGGCTTCGCTGAGAGAGCAAAAGAGAAGACGGTATTAAATTGCCGTTTGAAACGAAACGATCTGGACTCTGAACGCTCTCTTCTTTTGTAGAGTTCTCACCAAATGAAATAACTGAAATAAATTTCGTACTTTCCGCCGCCAACAAGAATTGCACACACGATCTGATAAGTGAGACAATTTATTTATAACAATGGCGACAGCGAAACAACATTATAAATGCTGATGTGGTCGCACGACTTCCCTCACGATTTGAAGTTTGAGACTGGTTTTCTGTTGAAATTCGTCTTAATTTGCCTGTTCCGATTTTAGTTGAAAATGAGCACTTGTAAATTTGGCAATTACTGACTGCGTTGCTTGCGTTTTTGGAGTTTTAACACAGGCATTTACAGTCTTTACACATTGTTTCTATTTTGAATATTAAAGCAGAGAA